ATCGCAAATCGAAATTTAAATTTAAATCGCAAAATCGAAAATGTGTTAAGACGTCCTACAATGTTTCGGCGCTGAAACGCTAACAATATTTAGGACGCTAATATGCAAGCGATGTCTCTGAACAATGCCAGTAACCGGGAAGACGTACCAAGAGCAGATAACAAGCTCGAGGGAGCGTCAGTGGGCTGTGTTTTATGACGTGGTCCAACTAATAACGAATAAAAACCATCTCATGCCGGGGAAAGGACTCTTGGGACATGGATGGTATTCGTGTGATTAAGATAGACTTACCTAAAATAATTAACACGTGGGTTAGGAGAACTCTTACTCCTTGAAGGAAGTATGCTAATGAGATTAGATAGTTGGTTAGATAAGATCACTTTTAGAGTGAGACAGGTGGGCAAATACGAAGGGCTAGGCTTGTGCCGAAACCACCACAACCATTTCATTTTGCCTTATGAACGAACAGTTCACTTACACGTGATAGCTAATATAGTCAACGGAAAAAAATTATCACAAACTGCAGCAGTGTACGTGTCAGGTGAAAAAGATAATACTAGCTAGCTTTGGTAGATCTGTAAGACGATGACCGAACTATGCTTTACTATACGGTTGCCTTTATATCACTGCTACTTGGCTGTAATGCATATGTCTATAGCATTTTTCCCATGTTACACATAGATTCCGTTTTTGTGCGAGAGGTTTCTATATAAATTGATTGGAAATAAGGTTCGAACTCATTTCACATTTGACTTGTGCACTGTTAATAGTTTGCGCAAGTGCTGAGATATTTAGGAGTGTTAATCCGTTTCATTCCTTCTTGCACCTGAGTTAGTGTTGAGAATGTTACAAGATATCTGAACATAGAATGAGATTAAATTTCGCTCTGTATATAGTTATATTAGCTCAGTCTGCTAATAAGTAACAGGACCTGGAGCTGCAGAGCACAAGAAAAGGAAACCAGGGTTTGTTCAAAGTCACAAGCAAGAACTGAAAAACAAAAATAACACCACACACGGACACAACCCCACACTACACACACCAACACACAACCACACACACACACACAGTACTTCTGTATAGTATATAAAGTAACCAGTATATATAGAATCAACTGGCACTTTAAACCCTGTGACCTGTTTGTCTTGGTTACCAGTAGGTTTAATGTATTATTCAGTCATCCAACTTTGTATCCACAGTGAATCAAAACTGTTTAGTTCATTAACCATTCTGTCCTCTACCAGTCCACAGGAGAAAACTGACTCAGAGACGTTGGACAGTTAATTAATAATGTTGTATTAACACTCCCCTGTCCCGCCTCAGTGAGCCTTCAGTTTTCCTCCTTCTGCTCCAACTCTTCTGAACCAACTGAACACTTTCACTTCCAGGGTTTCCTCCCTGTTGTTATGTATGTGTGTGTGTGTGTGTGTGTGTTCTCTTTATTAAGTTAACTGCTATAATAAAGTGTAACATACACAAATATTTACTCTCTTTATGGGTCTAAAATTCAACAGTGGTAAAGTGGGCCACCTTTAGAATTCTGCAGTGCCTAAAGTAAGGAAATCCAGTGTGTGTCGTGAAAAAAAAAGAAAAAAAAGTGTCTATAAAACAAAACAACGGTCCTTTTTCTGCATTTTGTGACAGCAGATCAGCTTGTAATATTGCAAGAAGAGCTGTTACATTAAGAGCTGCAGCTCCACTTCTTTATTTCACTTCTGCAGACTCATGCGGTTTTCTTTTTAGTGATTCAGATCATTTGTCTCAACTCAAACAAACAACTCTTTATTTTGCAATATATATCACTAAGATTATTCATTGTAATTATGATACATTTATAGTTTACAGATCAGCATAATTATACACATTGTGGCTTTTTGGCTGAGCTCATTTATTTTAGGGAATAATGGAGATTTGAGAGAAGCTATTACCTTCTTTTGTATTCAATTTCATTGACATTCTGTTTGTTTTTATATGCATGAGTGAGTTTGCAGTTATATAGCGTT